ATTTGATTCCAGCGAGAGAGATGTATCTTCTGTCCATGACTCACAGGGAAGAAATCACTAATTTTTGTTCTTTTACTGTGGTGAATATACAATCAACATTGCTAGAGTAGCAAGTTTAGATTAGCTCATTCGATTGTCAAGAGGCGCCAGGCACTCTTGAGGGTCTTAGAATAGAGCAGTGTCAAATCCTTCTCTGTTGCGGTTGAGACGGTTTTATATCCATGTAAATGTTTGTGATAACCGACAAAAAGCACTGGACAGCTGTTTCGTAGCGTTTGGGACTCTTCGGCAGTGAGTACCTTTTGTGTCCCTGTCAGGAATCGCATGTGAATGCATCACCTCGTGGGGAATCAACGATCTCCCAAGGAGTGAAACCCACAAGCAAAACCATCAAGAATCGAATAAGCTAATCCAAGCTTGATACTCTAATCTTTTAGATCCACTTACGTAAAATTATTTTGTGTTGCATAGATAGTTTGAATTTGACGAACCGATTGAGTGATATCTCTGAATGTTTCATTAAGCATTAGATTATTTCGCTTATTCCACCTGTTTCCATCAAGCTTTAACCAAAAGCCCCTCGATTCTTTAGCCTCAGCTTACAACCCTTTAGCTAAAACTCGAAAGTGAAAAATCTGTGAACTTGTGGATAGATTCACTGAAAGCTGATATGTTGTTTTGTCAGCAAAATCCAACGAACCAACTTGTAAAATGCATATATCACTTGGAATGATCCTCGCTTACCACGAAAACTCCAGTAGAGTTTACCCCTGAAATGAAGGGTATTTACAGGTCAATGCTATCATGAAGCAGTTCAGGAGTTCCTGAGCTACGGGAGGTAAGAGAGTGTCCCTTAATAATGCAATAGTACAGAAATCACAAACTTCATAGAACGATTTTGATGGAGGTCAGTCAAACTTCTTAACCCACCCTTTATATGAGTCTGGTAGAACAGTCGTTTATACCACAGTACCAATGTGAGCTGGGCGGTGAGAAGTATTTTTAAACACTAAACAAGGGCTTTAAGAAACTTCTCCAGTGGACGTTTATGGAATCGATCTCGCACTAAAATGAACCTACTTGATTTCCTTTTCTTTTTCTTTTCATTTTTACTTCCTTTTATTGAGTATACAAAGATACAATTTTCAGGAAGGAGGAAGCGGCCAGTCAACGCACAATGGGGGAAGTCAGACAGTGGTGTTGGGATTCGAACTCACATCCCCGGGGTGATAATTTGGTGACGTTACCACCGGGCCACCACCGCCCAAGATTATTGGTCTGAATAGTAACGCCTTCCGTTGAGTAATGCACAATAAACTCAATCCTCAATTTGTGATTTCTAATGTGAGAGAGTTTCCTTCAAATTGGAATACTGTGCCTTCCCGGTACTAAAATATCCTCCTGAAAGTATGAAAAAGGGTGTATAAATTCTACGTTACCACTTGTAAATACCTCTCTGCAGAAATGAAAAAATCGTCAAAAGATTAAACACTCTAACTGCATGCTAGTCAGAAATGCAGGATGTTTATACCATAACCAGATCTATCCGCCTGCAGTTTCTATTGCTATTCACATAAAAGTTTTGCCAATATTCAATTATACCGGTACTGCAATGGAGAATGATAAGGTTCCATATTAAATGGTTGAAAACCTGCATATATCATCCATCTACATTTATCTTTGAATAATTGATAAACTTAATACTGAATTAATTGGAATACTCACTCACGAGTCGGTAATTATAATCGTCCTCGCAATACGCAACAGAAAAAGTAAAGAGATTATGTAATATGTAGGAGAAAATATCAGTAGCTCAGCGGATTCTTCCTGGCACGATATTATTTTTCGTCGCCGGTGCCAACCCACACAAGGCCCGGTCCACATTCAGTTGTTTTTTGCACCAATTCAGTGGCACACACGAGGCCCAGAATATGACAAAACAGATTCCTAGACAATGAGGTCATTAATAAATACCATGTCGGGTAGATAGGCCTAAAATCTGTTTCTAAACAGTGCTGTTTAAGAATGAAAGATAGGAAGAAGGCCAGTAGAAACGACATCAGCTGGGATTTAACAGTCAGCTCTTTCCAATGGATTAAGCATCATCAGATGCTTGATGGACTGTATCTTAGACCACCACCGCAAATGGCTTGGTATCGAACATCTTGGAAATGGAGCAACCACGGTTGATGTGCATATAGCCGAGATAAACCATTCGGTTAATCTGATTGAATAATTGCAATCTATCTATATACCATCAATGGGTTGCGATCGACGGTCGATCACGATTTGACTGAGGAAACCCTTTTTGTACGCTCAAAAACAAGATTTTGGAACCTTCATTTTGCTTTTACTATCCGTCGCTGACTCGATTGTAGAGGTAGAACACAGAAAGACCTATAAATAACCAAAGTCCAAACATGTACTACTAGACTATCATTTATCAGTATGAATTCAAATTTTAACCCTCTCTCACGCTCTCATAATTTGTGGTGCATTCCTTAACCCAATTTCTATGTGACCTTTATACTTGTGCTGTACTGGCTAGTTAGTGTAACACTGAAAATGAGTTTGTTTATCACGTCTTCTGCTAATGCATATGATTTTGACCGCAGAGCTCATATATACTAATAAATAATGAAAATAACGAAAATAAATTACAAAAATGATGTTCAAAATGGGAAAATACAAAAAAATGAATATGAGGCTGGATTTTACGTATAGTCACTGACAAGTCCAAATGCAAACCAGAGAAGTCTGAAGCATTCTGAGCAGATTGGGTCTATGTACACAAAATCACGTGGTTATCTATCCGAATAGCTCTGTCATGGATCAAGGAAACGCGCACTCGGCCTGTCGACCGACAAAAGTCATGAACTCGTTGTAATTCAATTTGCCATCTTTGTTTTGATCATATTGCTCAATCCATCCGGTCACAGCCTCTCGCAAAATAGGCATTCCAGCCTGATCAAATATCAAAAGCAATTCGTCCGCTGACAGCTCACCCGAATGGTCTCGATCTAATTCGTGGAACAGACGAGTCCATCTATTCGATCGATGCAAAAAAGAAGAAGTGGGGTTGTGTATTTATTTTCAAAAATTAACTCTCACGAACGAATCAATCAATTATATTCACCTAAATTTCTTAGAACATATAAGTAAATTCAGTGTTTTCGTCTGTGTTGCTCTAAGCTTCACTTCTAGGAGAGCTATAACAACCATTTGTTGCTATTTTTGCAAGTAGAAAACCTATGCACGATATTCCAATTGATCAGCCCTTGTTGAAANTGTTGAAAAATGTCAAGTTATACAGTGACAAAAATGTCGCACTCCCTTGGGTTTCAATTCAAAAGCAACCCATTTGAATAATGTAAAGTGGCCCATCCCCGGCAGAACCTTGATGCTCCTTTCCCCGAAAGGGTTGTTCTTTATCCCATACTTGTTTCGTGAGTAAACTTACCCCAAAACCAACTTACGTGATAGGAAGCTGATTTAAGTAAGGTGTAAATATGTGAACTTAGACCATTGCCCTTTTAAACAAACTTCCCGATGTGACAAGAGGGTAAATTGAACGCCCCATCAGATGGAGCATCATATACATAAGAAAGCAAAACAATGCAAGCCGCCATGGCCTACTTGTTGTGGTATTAAGCAATCAGAGAAGAAGAAAGAGAAAAGCTTTGGACTGCCCCCGGAAGCTTTCAGAGGAAGATAAGCTCACGGGATCAGATCCAAATTTGGAACGGATGTATTTGAAGAAATTGTGCGTCGTGCTCATAGTATTATATCTGTATAGGAATGTTTGGATTAGACAAAACGAGAGAAAACCAAAAAACAACAATTTTCGGTTGACGACATTTCGACTCTTTCAAGTGAATATTAAATAAAAACTGTGAGAGAAACCGTATCAAATGGAGGTGCTTTTGATTAGTCTAGGGGAAGGAGAAATCGAGTTGGTGTATGTGTGTGTGTGTGTGTGTGTGTGTGTGTGTGGTAATAAATGAGAGCATGAAAGTTGTGAATGAAACAAGAGGTCAATGAGCTAATGATGACGTCATACGACATGGGGGATTAGTCTGTGAGCAGTTTTGTGGGGTGGAGAGATTTAATTTTGTGTCAGTATGCGTGACTGTGTGTTTGAGTGTGTGTGAGCTGTTGGTTGTGCAAGTGGCATCAAGCCAGTGGACTGATAATTGGGTGCCGTCCGATCGATTGAAGCTCAGGCCGATAAGTTTTGCCTTCAGTTCTGGCGGGACATGCGTCAGAAATGAAATATCTCTTCGGTTTAGATGTTTCAAACCGAGCCATATAAGGAGCTCGGGAGGACTTATCGCTGATTGGTTACAAGAAAACAAAAGGAAGAATTTTAATGACTGGAACTGATCACCCTTCTGGCTTCAGCTTTACGCACATTCCTCAGCCCTTCCGGTCAACCATACACTTGGAAGCACTGGAGTCGAATTTTGCTCTTATTAACTATTATTATTATTATTATTATTATTATCAACAGTAGTGCTTATCCACCGTCCCGTCCGAGACTTGAACTCCGGACCCATCGCACTGAAGGCATGTGCGTTACCACTAATGCAACCACCTTATACCGGGGCTGAACCGAATTACCAATTCATGTTTATTCAGGTGTCCTCTTCAGAGATAGTCAGTCAGCTCAATTTTGTCTTGACAGCAACGAAAAGAGACAGATCACTATCTGTTAATCCCTTGCAGCTATCATCTGAAAAAATTTTCAATTTCTCTTGTTACAAGTAACTTACTCTTCGACACTTTCTTCTGTGATTCCCAAAGCAACTTTGTATTCGCCCAATGTGATCACTCCATCATCGTTCAAGTCCAAACAAGAAAACGCATCCTGAAAAATGCAGCCAAGCTGAGCTTTGTATTTGTTGTCATGGTGTTGGTACAAACGCCTAAATTATCACTTTTACTACGCAAATTTCAGCATGAAACATGAAAACATGACTTCATAGGGTTTTTTTACCGTGAGACGTTCCACTGTATTACAAATAGTATCTTAGTGAAAAAACAACTGAAATTTCCTGCTAATTGCTCGTTATACGATAAATGGGACTGTCCTCCAAATAAAATTCGTTGATGCCGGTAAATAATGTGGGTTAACTTTTTTTACGTTTAGTGGATTACTGTCTCCCCCTCCCGGGTTTTTTCTCCTCGAGTTCAGCTAGAATATGTGATCGATACGAGAATGGGTTGAAAATCTCTCACTCACCGTTCAGGGCATAAGTGTAGACGCAAAGAGAAGGAGATGCCTATGATGGGTTGTATTTTGTTATTAAAGTTTGTGAGCTGTTAACAGCAGTGATTTCACGTTAGGTTATAGACTCATCTATCCGGACCACGGTACTAACATTTATTCAACTAAAGAAGAAATGTAGCCCTCCCACCAAATGGTATTGTTTCTAGAACAAGAGACAATGCTTAATTGTGGAGCATTAAAAAAGCCGCAGTGATGGGTAACGCCTAGATATCAGTGCTACACTTCTAAATTATCTCTAATCAATAATCACACAACTTTTTACTGTTTAAATTAATTTTTTAATCCGGAATAGTCCCATTGAAGTATAATTTTTGTATTGGTGCACACCTGTATGGAATTGACCAAATCAACAGAAATATTGATCAAACTAGTTTCATCTGGATCAATGCACCACGTATTTATTACGTTTATGAAACTACGAGAACATTTAATGCTCCATAAGAACCGATGACTTTGTTTTGCTAGTGTTAGTGACGTCAGCTAGCTGAAGGGAAATTAACCTTGCATTAGAAGTTTACTCAGTGGATTCTGGTGGATTCCAAGGAGATCCTGTCGTGGTAGTCAACCTACATGCTACCTGGCGGAACCCCTTGTGCTTCTGTAATTTGGATGGATGATCCAAATTTGAAAAGATTAGTGTGTAATCAGAGTAGCCTCCTAGCTCGGCTGGTAGAGCGCGCAGTACAAAGGCGTAGATTGCTTCCATGTTTGGGCTCAGATATGAACGCGGTTACTGAACTTTTCGCAATCCAAACGTTAAACTGAACACTGTCTGGTAGCCAGCTATTTGACTAAGGTTTGTGTGACGATTCCATTTTAGATCACGTAACAAGTCCTGTTTCTTCCGTATCGATCAGAATGGAAAATATGTCGTTTTGATTAGTTGGACGATATTATTAATGGCAACTACTATTTTAAATGTAGAAATTTAGTTGAGCACATAATGTGGATGTACCGGTCTCATCCGAAACGTTTCCGTGGAACTACCGCGAGTGTTTCCCTGATCAGATCTGTGAACGCCAGTCTAACCTCAATTAAGCAACTGTGGTCGAATTTGGCGTATGATATTTTCACAAAATTGTTGTCGGAATTCATAAAGCGTCACTTAAAATCACTGGTCTCTGTTATTCGAAGAAATACAATATTTGGCTCAAAATTCTTGACTAGTTCAGAGAAGAGAATAATGTCTGATTTGTGCTCGAAGAGCTCGCTCATGATGCTAGTCTGAATACGAGCTGGCACAACATGCTAATACTTCTACTTGCGTTGTAGAATTTCCCGTAACCGAGTGGTACAGCTCAGTATAACAAAATGAAAACAGTCAGTGTTCAAACAAGCATATAGAAATCAGTCATGCTGGCACGTTTTTTCAAATATCCCGGGGAAATTCATGACAACAACAGAGTAGATGATGTGTGTGAGATAAGAAAACGACCAGAAGATATGGTGTGCACTAACCTGCAATGCGTCTTCCGGGATATTGGACTCCTGAATTATTTTCCGAAATTCATCTTTAGAGATCTCTCCGTCACGATTTTTATCGGCTTGTGCAAATAGAGACAACAATTCCATCTTTTTCGCATAATCAGGATTGATCAATTTGGCCCTGAATTAGTCAGAGGAGGAACAACGAGGTCAAAACACAAAGGGTTATTAATCTTGAAAGAGTGGACAGAATACTTACCATTTGATACTGATAGATAAATAGCACCTATTATTCACAACATAAGTGATAGAAACCAATATGGAGTGATAGACAGCTTGATTCAGAAATGAATATTTCTCTTAGGTCACGAAAATGCGTTGACGTAATAGGGTCCAGATTCTATTACTCAATACTTTTTTGCATCAGATTTGCAAAGAAAATAAAGACGACTCATCTCGTATGTGATCTGACTTCCACAACAGTTTTTGTCTAGAATGAGGTAAGCTCATCGGATAGAAATAGGGGAAAAGGAAATTGATAAAAGGTTAACATTTGGCAGATTTCGGTAAATACTTTCATTCTCGTCGATTAGGATTCCCGATGCGGTCGAAACCAGTGCGAGAAGTCAATCAAAGCCTCGTATGTGGTACGTTTTACCAGTTGATTTATTGCGCCAGATTGACAAATTTGACCACTTCACATGCGTCTTGCGCTTATTCCCATTTCTACCGCTAAACGCCCTGAATATTGTATTTGTAATTTAAATAGCTCCAAACAAAACTATAATCAATACAACCTAAGTACAAATATCAGTGTATTTAATATAATAACCCGGCTTGCTCAATTAGTTGATTAAGTGCAGAAAACAGCCAATCAAAAAAATCCTTGATTGTACCGATAGTTGAAAGTGTGAATGTGGGGGTGTAGGTATATGCAAGTGTTAGTAGGATAAATCATATTTGATCGTATATCCTTTAGACGTGTGGCAATTTCCAGAGATCACATGAGTACTGTTCGTCGTTTAGTCAATATCTGGTCACACACACCTGACGGAAACTAGATACTAAATTGAACACAGCCTACCAAATGGAACTAAAAATCCTAGGATTTTGAAAGATTATTCAATTTAACAAACGTGTGCACCAATTCTTTTAACAGAAAATACGTGTATTATTATTTTACTAACAATAAACCTAGAAAGTTGATCCCATTTAAAGCTAGTTGCTTATAAGACCCAAATTTTCGGAATAAATTGCGCAGTGAATAATAAAGTACACGGATGATATTTTTTGTGAGGAAGAGCGATCGTCCTCATTAGGTGGGTATGTTTAATTGTGATTACAAAAAAATTCAAATTTTGGTTGACTGATGGTCATTCAAACCCTCCAATGCACTGCGATGAATAAATATTGGTGGAATAAACTCCATTTTCCAGTCTTTAATAAAGGAATGATAAATTTATTCCAAAGCCAGTTAAGTACTCAACTGGAATAGGTTACAAACTGCCAATTCTTTTTTGCTTTCGGTTCTTTCCAATGTACTTACAGAGGTGGCAAATCAAACGGAATTCCCAGAGCGATTTTGTACTCGTCCAATGTTATTTCCTCATCCCCGTTCAGGTCCAGGGTAGAACGGAAGTGCTGTAGCGAAATAGATGATTGAGGTGACAGAAATACCATACAAGGATGTCTTTTGAATACTGAGTAATGACGAAGATAGTATGCAAGCATCATTTCCTCGTTACTTTCAGTATCCAACCAACGGTAACACGCTCCGGCAAGAAACGAAAACAGCAAATTATGACGTTGGGCTAGATGGTTTAGATAAACTGTTAAAAAGAACTCGGGGTGGGATTGACCGGAGTCCTCAACTTTCCTTACTAAAAGTATACCACA